AAAAAGACGATGAATCAATAGAAAGATTAAAATCACGTGTCTACAATTCCGTTCGTGTAATTTCAGTTTTTTATTCGAACGCTGGTCACTATTTTGATGATCCATAATGGCAAATGGTAAGTGTTTGAACGGTTGGTTTTATAATCCATCAATGAAAAATTTTTAGGCAATCAGTGCAACTCTGAAAAAAAAAGACATTTCTTGCCAATTGCAATGTTAAGTACTTTAGATCGGCTAGATGGTCTTCCGCTAATTAAATTTTTCTTTATGACACATTAAACTATTATAGCTCTACATCATTCATCGGAATACCTATTTTTTACTAAATAAAATTTTCTTCCCGACCTAATCCGACTGATCGACTAAAGCACTTGAGAACACCCTTATTAATGATGTACGTAATTTTCTTAACAATATTTAGCTCATACAAATTTAATAGATCGGTCTAAGATGTATGAAGAAAACAAACAAATCTATTATTCCCAATTATCTCCAAATATACCATTTTTAAAATGTACCCGACACCTTTAGTCTCAGAACTAAGGTTGATTTACATGTAAGTTACACCATAACTTACTGTAACTTACATGCCCTATATGTAAGTAATAAGGCCGACCGAATCATGTAATTATTTCTACCAGCATTACGGCTGTTCTCGTAAATTTTGGACATCTAGTAAATAACTAACCGAATGATTCGAATGATTGGTTGGCCGATTCGATTAGTTTTTGATTTCGGTAATGAGCGTAATAATATGCATATCTTTCTAATGAAAGATTAATGTACATTAATATACTATTTTTTTTTTTTTTTGCACTTCAGATAAGTTAGATATTATATTAGTTTTACTTCAGGTAAAGTTGGATATTTCAGATTCAACAGAGTTAATTCAGGCAAGCTAGGTGTATTTAAAATATTTACTATAGACGAACAAGCTAAATGTTCATTAGTTGTTAGTTCAACTGTTTCAATATTTCATCTAATTCATAATAATTTAATTTTATAGATTTTTATTATGATTTTAGTTTCGACAAATATTAATAAAAACTTGGTTGATTGGAATTATAATTTGAATTATATTTTCTTTAGTTCAATCACCAATTTCTTGTTTATATTGAAACTTTTTTTATTAGCGCCTCCTAATGTAATATATTTATTATGAAAGGTTTATCTTATTTTCAGAACCCTTTTTATGTTTTTTTTTGTTAAAATCTGTTGGTTGGCAAGAACAACTTCGTCATAAATATTCGCACAAACTAAACACACCAAACATATTGGACATGCATTCAAGCAAAAATTTAATTTTGAATGTGTTGACATTGTAGTATCACTCAGCAGAAAATATACAGTGCATCATTATCTCTATATTACTTATTACGACAAAACTAGCGTTGCTAACTTAATTAAATTAATTTTGTATTATAAAAGCTAAAATCAAAAACAATAATATTTTAGCGTATTTAATTACAAGAACATTGCAAAATCGAAAATTAATTTTTGTATTATTTATACTAGAATTATCACAAAAATAAAAATTAGTTTTTGTATTATTTATACATATTATCAATAAATAATTTTAGCCTTGCATATATTAGATTATACATTATTAACTTTGCTAACATCAATCTATTATTATTATTTCGTAATTGGAATTTTTATATTATCAATTATTAATACCGTTAATATCACATTGCTCTGGAATTCTTTTAATATTGGAAATTTTATGCTATATACCTGATTGTAAACCTTTTACAATCTAATTATATGTCACAAATTTAATCAATATAGGTTAGACTATACTTAATATCTAGTTTAGGATTATTAGAAAAATAATTGAACACTTGTTTAATTGTTTTGTTTATTAAAGATAAGGTAAATGATGAAATTGAAATTTTTGTCTAAGAACTTTCTTATTTTTTTACATACTTATTTATATCTTTGCATTATATAATAATTATTGCACTTTCATATATTTAATTATTACATTTGCATTATTCTTTAATTATTACATTTTTATTTATCTTTATATTATTAATTACATTAATTAACTATTACTTATATGCATTATAAATCAAATCCGTCATTCATTTCAAACATCTGATTTATTAAATCTTCAGTATTATAATCCATATTTCCATGCAAATTCGAGTTTATTGTATTATTATTGTGTGCAACCTTATTAATTCACAATTGATCATTAGCTTCAATTGATAAAATTATAAGATCAACAACTTCTGAAATTGTAAGAGTATTATTGATTCGTTCAACAACTTCTGAAGTAATAATTTCTTGATTATTTGATAATGAATTCTCTTGATATAAGTAAAGTAAATGTTCATCGATATCTGAAATTATAGTACTATTTATTGAATCTTTCAATTCTTGTTGAGTTAAATCTTTTCCATAATAAATTAATTCTTTCTTAATATTTGTTAAATAATAAGATCGAATTTTTACCATTGATTCAATATGATGAACATCAAGATTATGTCGGCTATTTCCATAAAACCACTCTAACATGAAAAGTTTCTTTCACATCCTGCTTGAGATGGCATTATTGAAATAATTTAATTGCAAGTTCAATTAAAGGTAATTCTTCTTCTTCAAATGTAAGCCACCAATCAAGAGGAGATTTGCTTTCTTTTCTATATTCTATTTTAAATGGTTCTTTATTTAATTTATATGTTATAAGATTAGCTAATAAAATTGAGCATGAGTTTGCATCATTTCGCAAAGCTTTCCAATAATAAGAAGCAATTTCACAAATTCATCTAAATATTCCTTTTTTTAATCCTAAACCACGATAGCCAGGATGTAAAAAATATCCAAGTAAATAAATATCATTATCAAACTCATCATATCAATAATTAAATATATTAATTGCATCATTTTTTAAAATATTCTCATTGGGTATTCGATTAATTGCAATAGCTAATTTTATATATTCATTATAAGAATTGGCTATTGTTGCAGTTCTTGATTTTACACTATTAATAGCTTCTTTAATTGGTTTAAAAATCTCTGATACAATTTTGCACATTCGAAATAAATCTTCATCTCCAATATAGTTCAATACATTTTTATTAGTTAAAACATTAAAATATTCACGTTTAATCTATATAATTTAATAAAATAATAGTTATATTAATAAATATTTATCAAATATATATTAATAAATAAAGAATTATATAAAATTAAATTACCCAATCAAAAATTGGATATGCACGTAATAATGAATCCATTGTATTCCAAAGAGAACACCATCGTGTTTTACTATATGTTTTTAAAGTACCACCTTTAATTTGTAAATTTGCCAATCCTTCTTTCAAAAGAGCATTTGTCCGATGATTTTTATTGAAAAATCCTATTATTTCATTGCACTTAGAAATTAAAGTTCCAATTGATTTAATTTTTACTAAATCTGTAGCAAGTGGATTTAGTGAATGAGCTACACATTGAATACTTAGAATACATGGATATTTTTGATTAATTATTTGTCGTGCAACTCTAACATTACTATTTCCATCAGTTACAATCCTGGCAAATTTATCTATGCCTATATTTACAATAATCTTCTTGATTTCATTTGCAATAAACACTCCTGTTTGTGAATTTTTTGAATAATCTTTAAGTGCAATAAGATATTCATGTCGATCTTTAGTTGAAACTATATAATTATAAATAGAATTTCCACTTGGTGATGACCATCCATCAAGCGCAAGTATTAAATTTTTACATTTTTCTAATTGTGTATCAGTTTTTAAATTAATTTGTGCAGTTTCTTGTTCTAATAATTATTAGAAAGTGTTGCACGACCAGGTGGAACATATGCTAAATTAAGATGCTTAAATAAATCAAGCATAAATGGATTACTAATAATATCGAATTATATGTCTGTCATAACCCATGCTTTTAAAACAGCTTTGTCAATTTGATTTTGTGTATATAATGGCAGATCCTGATGATTTAATTGTCTTTGATTTGATTTTTTTGTTCGCTTGTAATTAGTAATTTTTTCAGAAAGTAATTCCTGCCAATATTCTTTTATATCTTTAGGAACTTCTAAACAAATGTTTGCAAGATGGGCTTCCATTTCTCAGGACGTCCATAACTCCAATTTTTTGGACAGTAATAACAAGTTGCACTACGATCATTGTCATTTGTTATGTAATAATCCCAAATTTTTTCTTTTGGTCAGCCAGCATTTTTTCGGTTTATTGTTCTATTTTGTTCCTTTGAATATGTATCACTTTGTTCATCTAGATATGTATCATCTTGAGATAATTGATTTAACATTTTTAAAGACAAATTTGCAGAAGTCGATATTAATAAAATTCAAGTTTGAAATAAAAATCAATCAAATTTATCGTTACTATTACAATAATAAAAACAAAGTCAAGTTTATCATTATCAGTATCATTATGACTCATCACTATATTACATCATTAAATATTCTGAAAAATAAACATTATCTGTGACAATTATTATTATTATATAATTTTTGCTTTTATAATTCTAAATTTAATTTTTGTTCTGAATTGAATTTTTGCTTTTATAATCCTATATTTAATTATGATATAATGCGATATTTATGATTATAAAACTATAATATTTTTGTAAATTAAATTATTTTAGCGTCTAAAATTAATTAAGTTAGCAACGCTAGACAAAACCAAAGTTTATCTCAATTTTCTAACTGATGTCCCAAAATCATAAGAACTGCTGTAATTGAAATTTATAATTTACAAGTAATTTATGTTAGTTACAGAAAAATTTGCATCGGTAAAATACAATAACTCACATGTAAGTTAACAACCCTCAGAGCGTTCAAGCTCTTTAATAAAATGATTCCATGGTGAATAAGATACAGGATACGAAATTAACTGAAAAGGAAATTTTAAAAACAAATAAAAATGACCAATGAGCTTATCTGGTAAACAAAGCATTTTTAACTCAAACCATATTTTTGGCACTGGTTTATAAACTTTATAACTTACTAAAGTAAATAGACTGGTTTAACAAGTTTTATAATTTTTTGATACAGACTTCATTAACGACACTAACCTATCACTAATTTTACGAAATTTGTTTTATAAGCTTAAAAATTGTAACTCTTGCCAAAGATACTTCATAATGTTAATCTAAAATATTAAATACAGTATGTTTTTTTTTACGAAAAAATAATTTAAATGATACAATTTATTCTATACATAAAAAAAATATTTAACAAAAAAATAAAAAAAAATAAAAAATAATCGTTAAATATCATTTGGAAATTCTATACCGATACCAGCAGATTTACTAAGATTTAGTTTTGATAATCTTTCACTAATTTCCAATGTGTTAAATGGTTTGCTAGTGTATAAATTTTTTAACTCTTCTTTAATTATTGTACAATTTTTGTTAATCTTATCACTTTTTAAAAACTGCTTTTTAATTTCATTTTTAGAAAATTTATTTAAAATTTTCAACCGTTCATTTTTATTCAAAATTTCCAACCATTCATTTAATTTAGTAATAATTTCATTAGTAGTTGG